CCCCCCCCCCAGGAGCTGGAGCTGCTGGACGACACCAACACCATCTTCAAGCTGCTGGGCCCGGTGCTGGTGAGGCAGGACATGGAGGACGCCCGCGTCACCGTGGCCAAACGGCTGGAATACATCACAGGAGAGATGTGGGTCGCATGGCCACGCTTTTTTTTTTGGGGGGGGGGCTGTTTTTGGGGGCCAAAAACCCCAAATTTTGTCGTCCCCGCGCAGCAAACGCTACGAGCAGCAGATGCAGGAGATGGAGAAGAGGTCGGAGCAGCAGAGGGAGGTGCTGGCGAGGCTGCAGCAGGAATTCCAGAGGGCGCAGGGCAAGGCTTGAGCCCCCCCTGCACCCTGCTTTGGGGTCCTGATGGCCGGAGACCCCCCCCAAAAAAATATATCCCCGTGGGACCCCCAATGAAATCCCCATGGACGCTCGATAAAAGGCAGCGGCTGGTTTTGTGGGGGGGGTCGTGGGGGAAAATGGGGGTGGAGAGAAACATTGGGACCCCCAGGAAATCCCTGTGGAACCCCATGGAATTCCGAGGAACCCCATAAAATCCAGTGGAACACCATCAAGTCCAGTGGAACACCATAAAACCCCCAAAGAATTCCATGGAATCCCAAGGAAACCCATGAAATCCAATGGAACCCCATAAAATCCCCAAAGAATTCCATGGAATTTCAAGGAACCCCATAAAATCCCATGGAACACCATAAAACCCCCAAAGAGTTCCATGGAATCCCAAGGAATCCCATAAAGTCTAATGGAGCCCCATAAAATGTCCAGCAGATTCCATGGAATCCCAAGGAATCCCATAAAATCCAATGGAACCCCATAAAGTCCAATGGAACCCCATAAAACCCCCAAAGAATTCCATGGAATCCCAAGGAACCCCATAAAGTCCAATGGAACCCCATAAAGCCCCCAAAGAATTCCATGGAATATCAAGGAATTCTGTAGAATACCAAGGAACCCCATGAAAATTCCAAGGAATCCCATAAAATCCAATGGAATCCCATTAAATTCCAAGGAACCCCATAAAACCCCCAAGGAATTCCCAAGAAATTCCCAAGGAGTCCCATGAAACCCCATGGAATCCCACAAGATCACCAAGGAACCCCATAAAACATCAAGGAACCCCATGAAGACCCACAGAACCCCATGGAATCCCAAAGAACCCCTTGAAATCCTAAGAAACCCTTTGAAACCCCAAGAAATCCCGTAAAATCCCATGGAAGCCAATGAAATCCCAAAGAACCCCTTGAAATCCCAAGGAACCCCATGAAACCCCATGGAATCCCATGAGATCGCCAAGGAACCCCATAAAACATCAAGGAACCCCATGAAATCCCATGGAAGCCCTTGAAATCTTAAGAAACCCTTTGAAATCCCATAAAATCCCATGGAACCCCATGAAATCCCAAAGAACCCCATAAAATCCCAAGGAACCCCATAAAAACCCCATGGAATCCCACGAGATCGCCAAGGAACCCTATGAAATCCAACGGAACCCCGCAGAGTTCTGCGAAGCCCTATGAGAACCCCAAGAAAATCCATGAAATGCCCCCCAAACCCCCAAAACCCCATAAAATTTCCCCAGAAAATCCCATATAACGCCTTTATTGGGGCTGGGGTCCGCGCGGCCGCAGCACGAAGTCGCAGCTCTGCCCGCTCATGGCGTAGAAAACGTTGGCGGAGGGCGGCAGGAGGAGCTCTGTGGGGTGGGGGGGATTTGGGGTCAATTTGGGGGATTTGGGGTCAATTTAGGGGTCAATTT